GCACCCTCAATCACTGGTGCAATATCTGATTAAGCAAGCCAAATAGATCAAGTTGTGCACATCATCCAATCTAGGTTGCATCATCCAATCTTTTCAGTTAGCTATGTAGATAACAACACACACACACATATATATATATATAATATTGAAAGTTTTACCACATGTATATGCTACATAACAACACTTCATCCATTGTTGATTTTTTTTTTTGGTTTTAATTCATAAAAACACAATTATATTAATTAATGTAATTATGGCCAATATATACTTTGATCTAAATTAATTGATCTTTTAATCCAATTCAATATTAATTTGGTGTAGATAATTACTGTACCTTAAATATGTGGTTGTTTTCAATTCTTAAGTTTCTGTATATGAAAAAAAAAAGCATATTTTCAGTAAAAAAAAAATCTTAGAAGATGTTGGTTTACTAAATAAATCGCATTACCTTAATTAGTTTTTTTTTTTATTTAAAAAAGCTACACTATATCAATTCAATTTGTATTTGATTTGTCTGATTCGAATTGGTTGAAAATTTTACTCTAAAAAAATGGTTGTACAATTTTTTAAGTAGACTAAATCAACCTAATTAAATGTAGACAATTTGAACTTTATTTTACTTTAAATCTGAGTCAAACCAATCTCTCTTCATCCCTATTCATACTAATTTTTTTTCTTCCTTTTTTAATGTTCAAATTCTTTAATATAAAAAACAGTATCTCTCGGGCCCTTGGCACATATATATATTTGGGTGACTTCAGGTCTAATTTGATGCATGAATCATGTTAACTTTCATGGATCCAAATTAAAATTGAAAAAAATATATAGTTTGGTTCTAATAACTAAATATAAAAAAACTGAAACTCCATCATAAATAAAGGCAGGGTCGCTAACTCAAATAGGTGAAAGTGAAACTCAGCCCAATATGAATACCTTTATTTTCTATTTTACTTTTTATGAATATTTTTTTAAAAAAAATTACGCAATTCAGTATTTTTTTATATATTTTTTTAATGTTTTTTTTTTATTCATGAGGAAATTAAAGAAACAGAACAAAACTATAATCTCATATGAGACAGTCCCATAGCATCAGGGAAATACGCTAGCATGTAGGGGTGCTGGAAAATGAGGCATTTAAAAAAATAGTATAAAAATAATCTAAATTCGACCTTTAATGTTTTAAAATATAAGTATTTTTTACATTATTTTAAAATGAACTGATTTGAGTCAACAAATTATATAGAATTTTAAATGATTTTATATTAAATAAAATTTTAAACCCATTTGTCCTGTTAAATATACCCTATGGTAATATAATGGCACTAAGTTGAAATTGAATCTAAATTTACAATTTTAGTTTTGGTATATAAGATTTTAAATACATTCTGAACAGTATGTTTAATGTTAAAAATTATTATTGTATAGCAAACTAATGTTTTATATAAAATAATTTGGACATAATTTGTAGGATGGAAATAATTAAATAATGCAATAACACATTATTCAATAATAATGGAAATTTTATTAAATAATTTGTCCTTGATTGTTTTGTTTTGTGTGTGAGGCATGTCTAACGCTTCCATCTCCTTCCACAACTTGTGTTTTGTTTTGCAGTGATGGGTAATGTGAAGAAGCAAGGGTTGGTGGGAGTGCCGAAAGGGTGTTTGGCAATAAAGGTGGGAGAAGGAGAAGAGCAAGAAAGGTTTGTGGTGCCGGTCATGTACTTCAACCACCCACTCTTCATGCAGCTTCTCAAGGAGGCAGAGGAAGAGTACGGCTTCGATCAAAAAGGAACCATAACCATCCCTTGTCATGTCCGCCACTTTAGGAACGTTAGAGCCATCATTGATACGCAGGGACGGAGCCAGGATTTCAATACTGGGGGGCCGAGAATTGGAATGATCAAATGAGGCGCTACATTTTTTTAAAAAAAAAAAAATTCCAAAGTGATACCACATAGCAGGCCGTACCAGAAGTCCAAAAGTTGAATAAAAAAATAAATTTGGGTTATTCATTTAATTATACATATGAGTTTATATTAAAAATAGGGGGTGCCATATAGTAATATATATGTATATAAAAAAAAATTAAAATTGTTGGGGGGGCCGTGGCACCCGTAGGTCCCCCCTTGGCTCCGTCCTTGTTGATACGGAAATATCCCTCCATCATCATCTTCCTTGCTTTCGCTTCTCACTTCTCATCAAACAATTCTAGTTACCTTGTTATACTTTTCTTACCAATCATATGTTCTTTATACACTCATCTATAAACGTATAAATATATTGGATTTTATAATAATTACCTACAAATATATATCTATTCTAATAATAAAATTTATATATTATATTGTAACAAATTTAAATTCTTTTTGTTTATATAATAACTATCATTTTTTTATTTGACAATAGGTTTCGTGAGATTACTTTTTTTTTTGGTACCTGATTTTTTTTAAAAAATTATAACGACGTTAGTCGACACAAGATTTGTTTAATTTGTTAAAAATTATGGTATTTAATCAAGTAAATATAATTATTCTACATTTGATTTATATGAAGAATATGAGATAAGACAAATGGGATAAAATTAAAATGACTTTATTTTTTATATTCAGACAATTTTTTCTCTTATTTACAAAATATCCGAGAGAAAAAACACACACAGAGTCATTTCATACTATCATTACACCACGAAACTAAGATTGCTCATGATTTTTCACAAATCAAATCGAGGATCAGACTATTTTATAAAAACAGTTTGATTAATCGAACTGTTTTTTCATAAAGTGAAAAATAGTGTTTTTATAAAAAAAAAAAAAAAAAAAAAAAAAAAAAAAAGAAACAGCGTAGATTTTTTAAAATGAAAAGTCCAATGCATTTCAATTATCCCTTTATATTTATATATGGTTTATTTTTAAAAATAAAAAATAAACACGAACGGAACCATTTTTACAAAGTATTTGAATTGAATTTGGGTGAATCAGTGATACATTTTGGATGTGGTGGAACTAGACAAGTGAGATATTACGCTTTCTTCAAAGGATGGCTGCTTCAAAATAGTTCCATTTTTATAAATAGTTTCGCTTCAATTTTGGATTTTCCGCTTTGGTTCAATTTTTTTCATTCTTATCACTACCGTCTCTCACTATTCATACCATCACTGTTATTTTTGTTGTAATTATCAATAATATATTATTATTATTATTATTATTATTAACACTATTATTATTACATTGAAATACTTAACAAAAATTCGTTGAGAAAACTAATATTTAAAAAGAACTTTAGTAAATTTATTATTATTATTATTATTTTATCTGAGATGTTCATTATATCCAATAATGTATAAAGGACAACTTAATTATTTATCCTCCATTATTCTCCTTGTAATGTATTTTCACAAGCATCCCAAGATTTTATTTGGAATGAATGGTAAAAGTAAGAAAACAGTATAACTTTACCTCTATTGGACGTTACTACCATTTAACTTAAAAAGGGAAAAACTCGAATGGACTACATACAATGAATTAAATATATTAAATTTTATAATAATTACGTAAAAATATACGAGAGTGTAAACATATAATAAATATTCATCTAATAAATAAATTTCTTATATAATAATAAATTTATTAACTTTTAAAAAACTATACATACTATAATTTGTAATTGATTAATAATATAGAAGAATTCTACGGTATATAATCATTAAACTCAAAAAACATATCTATCATAGTAAAAAAAATATTGATAAGGCATTAAAAAAATAAATTCTTTCTTCAAAATAACTATGAATTTTTACTTGATAGACTTGATCAATGTAACGTAGTAAGTGATTTCAGAAGGCCCAAAAGTTCAGTATGGGTGATTTAGTAGCTCAGAACAGGCCGTTCCCAAACTGGAATGAGTCGTTCCAAACCCTAGAACGAACTGTTCTGGATGTAGGACAGACTATTCTAGATGAATCCTAGAACAGGCTGTTTTAGTTTCAGAACAGGCCGTTCTGCATGTGATTTTTGCACATGATGAAGGGGTGCAGAACGGGCCGTTCTAGTTTTGAAACGGGTCGTTCTGGCCACTCCTGAACTTCTATAAATAGGACTTGTGGGCAGTTGAGGAGAATGAGAGGTTTTAGAGAGAAGTTATAGAGAGAAGGACTCTAGGTCTGTGAACTTCTTTCTCTCTCTAATTTCTCTGTATGATTCTTCTTCTTCTCTAGATCACTAATGTCTTCTGTCTTCTCTTGAATTTCATACTAGAAAGCTTGTTTTTGGAGGATTGAAGTTCAAGAGTCAAGCTTTAGAGGATATTTCTTCTTCTTCTTCTCAGATTCTTGGCTTTTTAGAACCAATCTTCAGGTGATGGAAACTAGAATGTAGGCTGTTTAATTTCAGGAGAGTTAGGAACTCCATTGATATATGACTTTGAGAAGTGGTTAATTAAAGAAATTCTTCATTTTTGGGAAAAATGAGGTTTTTGATGATTTTGACGCGTTGATTCGTTGCTTGTTGAATCTGAGTTCATTTTTTAACTGTATGAAGTTTATATGTTGCGTAATTGATGGAATTAAGTTGTTTACATGTTAAAATTATTAAAGTTATATAGTTGTATGGTTGAATAGAAAGTTGTCAAGATGGTATATGATGCCTATTGTTGTAAGTTGTCTATCGTTATAAGATGTCTATTGTTGTATTGTTGTAAGATGCCTATCGTTGTAAGATGTCTATTGTTGTATTGTTGTAAGTTGTCTATCGTTGTAAGATGTCTATTGTTGTAAAGTTGTTATGATGCTATAGTTGTAAAGTTGTTATGATGCCTATAATTGTAAAGTTGTAAAGTTATCTATTGTCGTAAAGTTGTAAAGCTGCCTATTGTTGTAAAGTTGAAAAGTTGGGGACATATGGTGAAGATATATGTCCTATGTTGAGATACATAGTACTAAGGAGATAAGTTGAAAGTTATTTTAAAGTTGAATCCCTTAGTACTGTGTGGCCCACATGGAAGTAGTCAATCCATGTCATGGTTGAATGACCAATTTGAGTAAGGTATCTAGTTAGGGATGTAGTCTTTGACTAGGTACTGAAGGGTGCGTGGTACTTGGCGGATAGTGGGTGGGCTAACTCCATATGTGGATTGGTGATGCTAGCCAAGGTTGTGGTAGGCTCATACCCAAACCCTTTTGTCCTGACAGTAGTACTAGACCTCCGAGTCTAAGTGGCACACCTGAGCAATCTCTTATTGTTGTCTATACCTGGTTCTCTTCGAAGTTCCTAACGATGTCCTATACCTGACCTGGTTAAGATAGGTCAAACGCTAGATTCGGTAGGGTTTATGCCAGCTAGACTACTCAACCTCAGTTGTTGGAGATCTCCTAGTTGTATATGTGTGACGACGTATTAAATTTTAAGTTGTATATTATTGTTGTTGCATTAAAGTTGCTTCTAAGTTGTATGAATGAGTTGGGTTTTATGTTGAACTGTGTGGTTGTTTGTGATGATGATTAAATGAATGAGTAGTATAGTATTTTCCTATACTTGTATGGTTGTTTATTGAACTCTAGCTTACTCTTCTATTTCCATGTGGATGGACTTCTATGATCATACTGTGTATTGGAGCAGATCAAGACTAGGTTGGAGTTGTTGGCTGCGTCCGCTGTTAGAAGTGAAATTTTTTTTGGTTCCTAGTATCAAAATTACCATCTTGGATAACAGTTTTGTGCTTGACCGATACAAGGAGATATTAGTTTTGGATAATTGTATAAATACCTTATATTTAAAAACTAAATTATTCTTATATATTTTTCATGTTTTTGTATTTATGAGTTATCCAATTTTATTATTTATCTTAGTTCACTATTTTTAGTGCAATTCCACTAAGTGTATGAATTTATTTGCTAAAAATTATTGTACTAAACATCATCAGTATAATTTTTTTACTTTTAATTTTAAAAGAAACAAAATAAAAGTTTACGTAATAAATGATGGAACAATTTTTTTTATTGCAAGTACAAAATACTTAAAAGACAAAAAATACCATCACATAATTAGTGTTGTTGCACCATCACCACCTGCTCCCTACCACTGTGGCCGATAACTAGAATTCATCATTATTATTATCACTCTAATTTATAATAATAATAATTATTATTATTATTTTATTATCATTATTATCTGTATTTTTACTATCATAATCATTACTATATTAAAATAATTAATAAAAACTAATTAAGATAACTAATATTAAAAATTTATCATATAAATTTAATATTGTTTTGTTTGTAATGTTCAAATTCCAAAAAAAAAAAAAAAAATTATTTTAATAACTTAAACTTTTGTCATGTGTTCTTATACTATGCTTTAGTGTATATCAAATATATTAAATAAATTAAAATTTTATATTTCTACCACTAAATATTTTTCACTGCATATAATGTCTTTCAAAAAAGTTTCTTTATTTTTAATTTGATTTTAAATATTTTAAAATAAAATATTACTAGTTAAAATAATATTGTATCGCAATATAAATTACATTACAAAATTAAGTATAATTTAAATGTCAAATATATTTATATATTATAAATTTTAATTATAATATAATTTATGTATTCAAAATTATTTATTTATTATAAATTTTAATCATATAAAATAAATATTTATTATGCTCATATATAGCACAAATTAAAATATAAGTTATTCAAAATGAATGAATATTAAGGGAATGTTTAATAATATAAAAGTATTAGTAACATACTTTTTAACACATTTTTCTTAAAATATTGATTTTTATTAATTAAAATTTATTGAAAACTTAAAGAGTAAATTATTAAATAAAAGTGTGCTACTAGCATTTTTTTTAATGATAATATTATTACACCCTTGTTAAATCAATCTTTGTTAAAATATCTGAAATAGTAC